GCCACAAATCGAAGAACGTACCATGACGTACCCTAAATATCGCAAAATGTGATCACCAGGACTCAACCATCATGACATTTGACAAGGCCGACCAAGTCGCCAAAAGTGCACCACTCACCATCATGTCCTCGGAGCGGCAAGGAAGGCCCCGAGGCTTTATCATCTACGATGCCAGCATTCAAGACAAGTACCCTCTGGTAATTTAACATAGCTATTGAAAATGGCAATTTATAGTGGATTTACATGGATTTACCAATTAAAAATTGTGATTTTCCATAGTTATGTTAGTTTACCGGAGGGTATTGGTGCCTCATTGTACCGGGAACGATGCCGGGAACCACGCGACTCAGTTAAACCATGAGATTTTGGAGAACCGGTCCAAGGGTCTCGGTACTGTGCCTCACCAACATCACCCTTTCCACTTTCTTCCTGCCAACAATCTGGCTGAAAACTCAACGGCCGAATCAAAACCCAAGGAAATGGGACGTGTGGGACATGTGGCAAGTGGAGTTCATCATATCTTGTTGAGGTATATTGCTACAATGATTAGAGCCAGAGCTGAATTCAGAACACTTCTACCCCAGTGGCGTCCACGAAGTCTGAGAACTGGGGGGACGGGACATAACCCACCACGAGTATCACTACTACTTAATGTGGATATAACAACTTAAATGGTGCTGATACTGGCTGATAGTATGTGGTATTCACCATCAAAAACGCGAATATCATGGAATATCAATCAAGAGAAATGAGGATATGCCCCAAAATTGGCTTCCATATTTTCTTTAGCATCTGCTCAGCTCATCAGCTTTCCTCATCTTGGCTCAACCTCCGCACCAAAGTGAAGTGCGTGGTGTTCTGGTAGTCCGCTGCAAAGTTGCGCGGGACATCCAGGATGAGGTTGTCACCAATGTGAAACCTGTGAGGAAACATGGATCATTCGTATCATCCCAGGATTGGATGATATTTGACAGTCACTAAGAATGGGAAAGTATTCAGAAGCCAGGAGAACCTTACTTTGAACTTAACTTTAAACTTTAAACCAATTCAATCTACCATCACCCCCCAACTAATGATGTGATGATGTGCAAGAGATTGCAAGAGTAGGAATTTCCCGCAAGGCTTCACCGGTGCCGAGTAGATCGAGTAGTCGATCTGGGAGTCCGCACTGGTAGGCTTTCTTTTGATCCCTCAACAGGCCCACAAAGGTCCGCACCTGATATGGTGACTATTTTAGCCCGTTCACTCCGTGCAGGGAAGATCTAACAGTTATGCTGTTTTCCCATGCTATCCTCAGTTAAGGTGCTCTTGCAATGCTTCACTGCAAGTGATCTTATTGAGCTGTTTCGAAATGACGCAAAATTGAATCTCGGAATAAAGTCGTTTCTACAAGTCTTGCAACTTTGAGAGGGATTCCACCAATCTTCAGACATAGCAAGTTTACCCGACTTACCCAACTCATGTCAGACAAACATCAAACCTCTTATTGACATCGCACGAAAGGCCCCGGGTCGGGCTGGTAGCCCTGTTGGTTGGTTCTAATCCTGGGCAACCTTTGCTCATCTAACATGGCATTAAGAGAAGACCCATTGCCATTTATGCTGAAAAATATTTGCCCAAAAATGGACACAAATGGTAGAAAAGTGGTACAGTAGAAATCTCCAGCCATGGCCACAGAATGCCACAGACCTGGATTCCCAGCACACCTCTGATGCCTGCGCTTCTGGTTTCTGGAAGTGCTGCATGGAGCAGGGTCGGATTGCCAGGCAGTTGGCCCCATAGGCACCGTCCAGCCTCGGAACAAAATTGACGACCCACTGGGTCGCTGGCTTCTGCCTGGAAGCAATTCTGGCAATGTTTGAGGATTGTTTGAGGATTGTTTGAGCATTGAGGCAAACCGCCCTTCCTACATTGCCGCCTTCCATGCAAACCTCCCAGAAAGAAGCAAAAAAAAAAACTCCCGGAAAGCTCTTCGAAATGTCAGCTGCCTAGTCAAAGGAATGTGAGATATCAATCTTCTCATGGTCTCGGCGTAGGGTGTTGTGAAGTGCGGATTGGATGATCTCTTTGGGGAATTCCTTACACTGTTACACATATCTTTGGCCTCTCTATTGGTTCCTGGGTCTTCCAGATGCCTTGCAACAAGCAACACTGTCAAAAGCGGCGAACATCCCAATGTCGACTTGGGTTCAATACTGTTTCATCCAAGGGAGCCAAACCAAGTAGTGAAGAATTGGTTGGGAAACCACAGTTCACCCGTTTCACGACCCGTTTCTCCCATGGGTTTCCCATGGGTTTCCCATGGAAGCTGGTGACCAAGCAACATGGTGGTGGAGGTGAGCTGTTCCTTCACCAATGGACACAAGCCATCCAGCACTACCTCCACAACTTCACGACCGTCATCGCGATGTTGATGCTCGAAACCACCTCTGCAAGATGTGAAGCAAGTCACATCTTTAAGGTACACCAGGAAATTTGGCGAATCCGGAAGGTCATAATACAAAAATCGCGATATATATATATATATTTATATTTATTAACTTTTAACGTTATTCAACCTGCCCTCATCAATTACAGCTTCCAGGCTCCACCTTCTTGGGGACAAGCTGATTTGTAGGCCCCTGAACCGACTGAGAGATCTATCAAAATAGGAAGCTTTTACAAGGAGCGCCATCCATGGTGACTTGGTAAGTTCAGTCAAGTTTACCTTTTGCATCCTTTTGCTATCTGGAAATCATAGTTTGCAAATGTTTGCAACTCATATTCCCCCGCAAAAAAAAAAAATATCAGCTATGGCACCGTCCAATGCGATGAGACTAACCCAGCTGAAGCTGATGAGTTCCAGAATCGCATCAGTTGTGGTCCAAATATATAGGACATCCTCAGTCAATGACTCAGGCGACCCGCAGCAAATGAGCATTGGCTGTGTTGCTCTCTGCTGAAAATTCATCCTGCTGACATATGCGTTCCATGGATCATCATGGATTCATGGATCATTAAAACCTCCAATGGCTTTCCACTCTTTTTTCTTCTCTGAAATTCTCACTCTGAACTCGAGCTGTGTGTGTTCCAACTCAGATACCAACATACTGCTCAAGTTCGAATCTTTCCTTGGTGGCTCCATTGACAGACCCTGAGTTCTCAGTGTCTGGGGAAGCTCCTGGTGAGTTGATGGTGGCTAAGCAATGCCTGAATGATCCTACGAGTAACTGTACCAAAATCCTGGAGCTGTGAGCTGCCTGTCCACCAAATGAGAAAGCCACTCCGGTCCGCCACTCCATGCTACATATGCTACTTCCCCATGTTGAGCTGCTCTAAGGCCTCTAAGGCCTGAAAATTCAGCGGTGCACATCATAGACAAGTAGCATTGAAGTCACCCGCAATGGCAACCTGCGGGGCTGTACCATGGGTCTTCTACAGGGAACGCACATGTGCAAACACCGAAGTTGTTGGTTTTGGTTCTGGACAAATCTGGGTTCTGACTGCATCGGTTTTGAAATGCTGTAAAATCACAGTGAAACCAGCAAGCTGGTTGAAGAGCTTTTTCTAACGCTTCAATCGCCCGGGGTTTGCTGCCGCAGCCAATCGCCGCTGCTGATGTTGCTTCTTGCACACCAGACAAAAAGCAGCTCAACCCATGAAAACTACACACAGCCTGGGAGGAAGCGCTTCTTAAATGTCATGTGTCTTTTGCGGTCTTTCTGCGAAGTATGCAAAAATGATGTATCTGTCTACACACCGCTACTCGTGTACACACATTCCAGGACTCAATCTGAGAAGCTTCATGCTTGCCCCATGATCATGGCAGGCAAGGAGAGGAGCGGTGGAAGTGTAGATACTGGCATGGAGGTCGCGCTTGCCTGGCTTGGAAGCTTTGCTGGGATTTGTGGTACTTCTGGGGTTGCAAAGTAGAAGCAGGTCCATGTCTGGATGGAATGGATTCCAAGGGTTTGGATCCCCTTGACTTTTTGGTTTAAAAAAAAAAAGAAAACAAAAATGCTTTGAAGCATTCAGCTCCCAGTGGCACGTGCATGCCATAAGTAAGCCAACACAAAGGCCTGATAAGCATGCCATATACCCTTGGGAGCGAAGTTCAAGACCATGCCAATAAAGCACAGGAGAGCCAGGTCCAAATTAGCCGCAATGGTGCCGAGGAATTGCCAGTAAAACCAGGCAGTGATCAAGTAAGCCCCTTCATAGGCCACTGTTGCTGTTCGGGGACCAAGCCAACCCTTGAATTTCAAGGTATGCAGAAAGAGCGCAATGGTCGTCATGTATGATGAGGTAATCAAAATCCCGTGAATGGTCTTCCTGGGCCAACCCCAACAGGATAATCGAAAAGTAAACGAACGACATACATCGACATACTGAAAGTTTGACCCTTCCTACTGTCTTGGAACTGTCTAAAATCCCACGATATTGAAAAGGCTCAAATAGACATGCTCTATTGAAATTTCTGCATGATGGAGGGAAACAAAAGCAGCAAAAATCAAACATGGCAAGGCTAGGCAAGTCCTAGTTTCTGGTCTTCAGGGGTGATGCGCCCGAGAAAGCGGATGTAGTTCAAAAAGAAGCCGATGTAGTGCTTCGCAAAGGAATAGAACACTTTCACAATGTATGTGGAGGCGTGATAGAAGAATCCTTAGATCTCTGTGTGGAAACACCAAGGGATCGGATCTAAAAAAAACAAAAAAAAAACATCATGTTCCATCATGTTCCATCCCTACTGAAAAAACTCTGGTTGTCAAATTCGAATCCAAGACCTTCCAAAACCATCTCTGCCATTAGTTTTTTTGGAAGAGTCGGTTCTTCTCCGACTTGTTTTTCGCATTTTCCAGCGCCGTGCGGATTCGCGTCGTGGGCCACAACGGGCGAATGTAGTAAGGCAGGAACACAAACAAAATCTCGATCGGCGGAACAGCCCTGATCATCTCGAAGATCTTGTTGTCCATGTAGCAGTACCTCAGCAGCTGGAATTCCACTGATATGCTGCTATGCTATACAAAAATAGGGCTGGAAATGAAGTTGGATCACAAAGGTCAGTATTTAGCTGAGCTTTCTTGAATATGTCTATGCAAGTTAGATTAGATGATGTAGTAAGTACCCATCCTTAGTTTGGGTTGGTGGTGAGATACGAGGGCAACTGGCTGAATTCGTGATCTCACAGGCAAGTTGCTGGAAAGCCAGCAACATGCTAAAGAAACTGTTCTCCACGATGAACTTGTAACCTGAGGACACTGTCATAGTGTCAACTCCTTTACAGAACCCCAATTGCCACTTCTACGCTGAGTGACTCAAAGCGAACTTACCAAAAACTCTTCATGTCCAGGCATCTTGTCCAAATTCAAAATTGTCGTGTGATCCTCAACAAAATATTCCAAACATCTGCCAAACATCCAACAATCTGCCACATGTCTTTGCCCAAGAAACTGAGTGGAGCCTTGTCTGACATGGCAATGAAGCCTGGATCCGCAATGTTGGGCATGAAGGTAAAGGTACAGGACGCTGTGACGCTCTGCAAAAAGCCAGTCATCCCCAAGGTCCACACCTGCCATGGCCGCCAACATGGTACCCCCATGTCCCCGGAGTCCCCGGTACCGTAAAATGAGGTAGAAAATGTCCTACATCATCCATCCATCCGTGGAAAATGTGAGTAATTTTCTCGAGACCTCCAACATTTATCAATTTATCCATCCTGGATCATCCTTATCCCACAGTCTATCCTGACTCCATAACAATCAATCGGTCTTTATAAATCTTTATAAAGTCCCCACACGAGATGATCAGCGTTCAAACTGGCCAACATCCGTGAATCCGGAAAAATTGTGTGCATCAACATCTTGCATCATGGACCTAAACCGAGATTGGAACCACGTCATCCTGCACGAACATGTCTCTGACATCCTGGTTTCGTTTCATGAAAATTCTTGCAGCCCGGAAACTAGCGGAGTTTTCAGGTAGTGCTCATAGTTAAAGATGTATAAATAGAAAGCGGCAAAGAACTGGAGAAGGAAGATGAGGCCTGTGCTCCGGAAACTTGTGCTCCGGAAACTCTGTGATGCTCGATGAAATCAACTGGAATATCAATAATCACAAGGATGAAATCAAACACATCGACGTTTACGAGGAAAGATGTGGATCTTTTTGAGATCGATTTGGGCTCTCTGCCTTGTCAATGTGAAGGACCTGGAAAATCAATTACGCGTCAGCTGGGGATTGTATGCTATTTTGCATTGTCTCAAAAGTAAGACTTGCAGGAACCTCATGACTCATGAAGTACCGAAAAAAAGATGACTTGGACACGAGGAGGAGCAGTTCAGCCTCCAGGCATGCTTTTACTTCGGAATACGTTGCATGTTTTTTTCAATGGACTGATTCGAGGAAAATCTACATATACCATTGTTTTTACCCCGAAGGGCAGGCCATTCTGGCAGATTTCCCTTCAATCAGTTCTCTGTACGGAAACAGACATTGAAACGCCCCTTTAACAAGAACATTGATGTGAGCCATATAAGCCGTGTCCCTGCCTCATCGTTTAATGCAACCGATCATATCTCTACTGCTGGCATTTCCCAAAGTTTATCAATCTCAATCATAATAAGTCAATAAGCGTCCAAACAAGTCTCCAACCACCCAGTGTTTAAGCAGAAACCGCAAAACAGTCAATGGGCCGCAGAAAGTATTTTGTGATACTTTGTGCATCGCGTCATCGACGGGTGTTCCTACCTCGCTCTCCATTCCCATACCGCTTTTGGTACCTGACCTCGTTTTCAAGTGCCGCACTTTTAGATGCTAGCTAAATGCTGCGCATGAAATGCCTACCTCATTCTCAGGGTGCTCCTACTTCGTTTTGAAACCGAAATGTGGTGTTTTTGGCAAACCAGGGCAAGCCTCAAGACTACTCTGCACTTCACCAAATAAAAGTTGCCGTACATATAAATATAAATATACATACATATATATATAGTTATATATATATATTATCTTATATTATATTATATGTGTGTATATGTAGTGTAATATGTGTATATATATATATATTAAAAATATGTATGTATATATATATATAATAGTATGTATATATATATATACATATATGTATATATATATCAATATGTTTACATATATATATATATGATCATATATGATCATATATGTGTGTGTGTCTATCCACATCATCCCCCTGTACTTAACTCCCAGGCCCCCCCAGGCCCCAACTTTTACCGCACCTGTGACACGATGCACTTGAAATCTTGGAGCAAACCACAAGTGGATCTGGGCCTTGACACTCGAGTTTCACAATCCATATGGAACATGTTGTATTTTTCCAAATATTGGGAATAATCATCCCAACTGACTCATATTTTTCAGAGGGGTAGGTCAACCACCAACCAGTGAATGATACTGAATATACCATCTTGTTATTTAACATAGCCATGGAAAAACCCTTATAAATGGAGGTTTCTAGCTGGGAAAATCCACTATTTCTATGGCCATTTTCCATGGCTATGTTAAATTACCAGAGGGTAAGTCAAAACCTTCACCACCATGTGATGGAAATCAAAAAGAACACGGACATATGAAAGCTGTTGAAAGCTGAATATAGATGAATATAGCAGAAATGCAGCTTCAGGACCTTCAGGTTAGAAACTTGATGACTTGGCAAAGCAGGATTGAAAAATCGTTGATGCTGCGACATTGGGGCCACTGAAGCCATGGAAGTCAACTTTCTCATACCAACCCAAGAGTTTCCAATAACACTTCTTGGTGAGACTTGCATGCAACGCAATGTATCCCATCTGGTAATGGCCAGATGCCGTCGTTGAACCTGTCCATATGGGGACGACACGGCAATGTATCTCATATTAAAGCCATATCGTGGTTTTTGAATTCATTATAATGATCATTGTATTCATCCGACAAGTCCCATTTTGATGCTAGCACACTTCCAAGACTCACTATCAACGAAACCCCATATTATGCAGGCAATGACAGAAGTAATGTCTACTGCACCATGGAAAGGCAATCGGATACATCCGCCAAGATAAAATTGTTCGCACCAGCAGTGATGGGATACTGAAAAGATTCAGGCAGCTCTGTTGTATCAATGTTGCAGCTGATGCTGTGCGCGCTCACTCTTTTGTACTGTTGGCAAACAGTCTCAGGATAGCTTCAGGCTCAAGGCCTGTTGATCCATAATGTTGACAGTGACGTCCAGCAGCTGCTGAACTGTACACGAATTGTGTGTTGGACAATGTTGTTACTTAACACGGCCCCTCAATTTGTTGGAGCTTCCAACACATTGCACAAAACAAACATTGTTGAAACGCAATCACATTATGTTGATACTATTGGATTGGGTGTTGATCTCTGTACAGGGCTGATGGCTTGTAGTTTTACATCTGTTGCCCAGCCGCAGATGTTGATCAAACACTCATCTAATTTTGCGCATTCCCGGCTCTCACGTTTGAACCTCTTGTTGCGCAGGGATCTGCTGAAGATCCAAAGACTGTTGGTTGAGGTGCCAGTCTCACCTGTTGGATGACTTCTCATCCTTCCATCTGTTGATCATCATCGGTTGTTGCGCAATTCTCACGCAGCAACTGTTGGATCTCATCCTTGGGCATGGTGAGTGGCAAATTGCTGAGGCGCCACACATTGATCTCTTTGAAATGGTTGTTGATCATCTCTTCTGTCCACTGTTGCTCGACCCATGTTGCCAGGTGGCTGTTGCCTCTGATCCTCTCAACTGTTTTGGCTCCTTGGAACAGGATGTTGCCTGTGTTGATGCCGCTGGTGATGCTGGTGCTGTGCATCTGTTGCAGCATCTCCATCACAGCATCCCTGGTGGATGTTGTGAAATGATGGAGCATCTGTGCTCCACCATACTCCAAACATTGGAGTACGAGCCTCTTCTCCTGTTGTGTTGATTCCACGTTCATGTTGGACACTTGGACCGGGATGTTGTAGGTCCACATCCAGTCCTTGTTCCACTGGAAATAGTTGCAGATCTGTTGAAGCATGGTGTTGCCTCCATCTGCATTGGTCTCCCAGATCTGTTGGGATGCCAGCTCAAACGTTGTGAAACGAAGGTTGCATCCACTCTCGATCTGTTGCTGTGGATACATGTAGCCCCTGTTGAACATGTTGATCACCTGGTTGCCTGTTCGAAGACGATGTTGTTGAACATCCTCAACCCAGGTAATCATGAGCCACTTTGTTGGAATCTTCGTTGTAACATCATCTCTGTTGCGTGCATGTACATTGTTGTGAGCGCCAGTTGTGGCGAAGGCGCTAAGATCAACTTGTCGAAGTTGGGCATACGTTGGCTGCCCAAAAGTGCTGGGATCACCGTGTTGGTTGACTCCCTAGCCGTCTCTGTTGGTTTGATGGAGTTGTACTCCTCGATGGTCATCAAAACGACAAAACAAATTCATGTTGCAATCCGACTTGTTGTCTAAGACAGTCATGTTCCAGAAAGAAAATCACTGAGTTGAATCTCCATGTTGGCCACCATGTTGAAACTTCCCAGTAAATGAATATGTTGATATACTCCATGTTGAAGTAGATAACGTAGATATAGAACATGTTGTCAACCTTTGTTGACACCATGGCTCAAAAAGAAATGTATGTTTGTGTGTGTGTATATGCCACGCACGATGTTCGCACGTTGTACACGCGTCCGCACGTTAACACGCTAGCTACAGTGAAACTGTTGTTGTTGCTTGTTGCTTGTTGTTGTTTGTTCAGTGATGCTGGGTGCTGATGCCAACATCACTGATGTGACGCAAAAGCGTCTCTGTTGCAACGTACTTGGTGAAGATGTCGGCCGGGTTGTTGATCGTGTTGATCTTGACAATCCTCACAAGGTCGTGTGCGACCAATTGTTGTATGAAAAGGTGTTTGAGCTCGATATGTTTGGCTTTCTTTGATGCTCTGATTCTTGTTGCCATGCTCTTTCCGCTTGATGAGTCGGTATATATGCGGATGTTGATCTTCTTCATGTTGAGAGCTTCCTTCAGGAAATTGCTGATGTGGAGTGCTTCTGTTGCTCCTGTGTTGATCGCATAGAGTTCTGCTTCCGCGCTGCTCAGCGCAATTGTTGCCTGTGTTCTGCTTCCGTAGTGGATTGTTGCGCCGAAGACTTTGATTAGAAATCCTGTTGTTGACTTCCTCGTTGTTACGCATCCTGCCCAGTCGCTGTCGACAAAGACTTGGATGTCTGGTACTGCTTCAGCTGTTGGTGTCTTGGTTGTAGGTCTCACGTATTGTTTGTAGTGTTGTGTTCCCTTGATGTACCTGAGCAAGTGCTTCAATTTCTGCTGGTCTGCTGTTGTTGGCTGTGTCAATGCTCTTGCAAGCTCTTTTGTTGCAAAGCCAATGTCTGGCCTTGTGTAGGTCATCCATTGTAGCTTGCCAACCATTCTTCGGTAGGCTGCGTGTTCTTCTTTGTTGAGTTCTTGTTCCATCTCTGATGTTGCTTTCAGAGTGTTGTTGCCTGGTGCTGGTGCTGGGTTGCAGTTGAGCATGCTGGCTTCTTCCAGCATCTGCGTTGTGTAGCTGTCTACTAAGCTGATCTCGTAGTAGTCACCTTTGTTGCAGATGTTTCTGCCCAAAAAGCTGATGGTGTTGCCGACTGTGAGTTCTCCTGTTGGACGGAGTAGGAGGTGTTGCTGGATGCTCTTGAACAGCTTGTTGACCGTCTCCTGTTGTCCAATGAAGAGCAAGTCGTCGACGTAGCATAGTATGTATGCATCTCCCTGTGGTGTTGCGTAGACGTTGGGCTCGCTGACAAGTCGTCGTGGTCCAAGTTGTTGCATCACCTCTGCCAGGTGATTTTGCCATGCTTTTGGGCTGCTGCGTAAGCCATAGATGGCTTTGTTGAGCCGCCAGACGATCTGGTCGAAGGCGTTGTAGAACTCTGCTGGTGGATACATGAAAAGATCTGCTGTTGCTGCTGCTGCATGTAGAAAGGCTGTTGAAATGTCTCCTGTGAGACAAATCCAGTTGTTGCAAAGTGCCAAGACGAGTAGCATCCTCAGAACGCAGAAGATTGGTGTTGACGCGAAGATGTCGTCGTTGTCATTGATCTCCTCTGTGTAGCCCTTTGCTACAATTCGTGCTCGAACTGTGTTGCCTTTCTGTCGAAGAACCCATCTTGACTTGATAATCTTCTTGCGTTGCTCTGGTGTGAGTTGACTTATGTGTACTTCTGTGTACACTCCTTGTTCCTTCATTGACTTGATTTCTTGCTTCATTCCTTCAGTTGTTTGTTCTTTGTCTAAACCTTCGGTGTTGCTCACCCAAGGTTCCAGGAGAATCTTTTCTGCTTTGATCTCCTGTTCATCCTCATTTGATGTTGCTTCTATCTTCTGTCCTTTCTTTGTTGTGACTGTGACTTGTGATATCCTCATCCTTGTTGTTGGTGGCTCCTGAGCTGTCTCAGGTCTGCTTGCTGCTGTGGCTCTCTCTGTTGTTCTTGCTTGCTTTGGTGAGCTACCTTGTGTGATCTCATCTGCTACTTCTCTTTTGCCTTGTGTCGGCAATGGAAGTGGCTGCCTTGCTGGCTGAGTTGCTGGCGCTGTTGCCATTGGAAGGTCTGTAAGTGCTGGTGGTGTTGTGGCGTGTGGTTGTTCCATGGCTTGTGGCTGTGGACTCCGCTGAGTCTGTGTACTTGCTGTTGTCTGCTGCTTTGCAGCAGCGGGTTGTGGTAGTACCACAATGCTTGGTGTTGTTGGTGGTATCATGGCTGGTGAAGAGTTGATGATGTCCATCAACTGCTTGTTGTACTTGTCTGGCTTTATTTGTCTTCTTATGGTCCTTGCTCTGACCACTTTGTTGCTGATGCCAAGTATGTTCTCGTTTGTTGAGTTGTCCTTACCCAACCAGATGGCTGGATAGAACCTTGCTTCCATCTTTGGCATATGTTTTGCTGTTGGTAGCATGTAAAGAACTGTTTCACCAAATTCACATATTGGTGTTTTGTGTTCTTTGCCCCATCGTCTGTAGTAGCTTGTGTTTCCATCTGAGTGGGTGGAATACCTGTTGAGCAGGTATGCTGCGTGTTTGACAAGCCACGGCATGATGGGATGCTTGCTGTTGAGCTTGATGCCATAGTTGGTCTCCAATTGGAGTTTGAGAGCTCTGACTTGGCCCATCAATGTTCTGTGGAAACATTCAACGCTTCCTTGTGCTTGTGATGTGTAGGCTGGTGCTTGCCTGACTGCTATGTTGCTACCCATGGCTGTTGCCACCATCTTGAGCAAGGTGATGATAAAGTCTTCCTGGTCTGATTGAAGAACGGTGTTGTTGAGAATTGCATGTGTTCTGCCACATTCCATGAGGAATTGTTGAAGGCAAACTGACAGGTATTGTACGTGTTGTGTCTTGTCCTCAAGTTGGACTGCCATACACATGCCTGTTTCAACGTCCACTGCTGTAAGGACTGATGTTGTTTGCTTTTCTCCTAGTGCTTTGTAGTACATCAGATCCACTTGGATCACTGGTGTTTTGCTTGTTTGCTTTGGATGGTTGTCCTGTCTTCCTTTGCTTTGTACACATGTTGGACACCAGCTTCTGTAGGGAAGGTGTGTGAGCTCGTGTTCTCTTCTTTCTTGTTCTGTTGGTTGTTGTGGTGTTGGCACTCCTTTTGCTCTCTTGGCTTCTTGTTGCTCCTCTGGCTCATCTGTGATGAACTCATCTTTGTATGATGCGTGTTCTTCAAAGTTTGTTGAGCCTGTCCACTCTATGTCGAGTGTTGCTTTCCTCTTTGTCGTCCAGTCATCATCTATTCTATATCCTCTGTTGCCACTTGTTGGTTTCACCATTGTTTGTCTCCACGTTGTCAGTCTTGTCACGTCTGGTCCATCATCTGTTTGTTGTGGAATGTACATGTCCCTTCTTGGTTGGACATGCACACGTTTCCAATATGGACCTTCTTTGATCCAATAGTCCTGTGTTGGACTGACTTCCTTTGGATGTGGAATTGCTGTTTGATATGGCTGCGTTGTGGTCATTGCTTGGTCTGTTGGCCTTACCTCTGTGAGAGGCTTCTTCACATTGTGTCGGTACATTGGTGCTTGTGGTTGGTCAACTGTGGTTTGTTGAGATGGTGTCGCTGGCTCTTTAGCTGGTGGAAGTGCTGGTTGTGGTGGTATGTTGCCTGGAAGTACTGTTCCACGTTTCACTTTGAACCATGTTTCTCCTGTCCAGTTGTTTCCTTGTATGATCCTCTTCTGTTGCTTCTTGTCGAGGTCTTGGTATGCTTCTTCCATGACCTCTGTGTTGTTGTTTGGTCTTTGTATGATTGTTCTTCTGTAGTTCTCCAACCTTTCTGTTGGAACTGGACATCTGCTGTCTGGCATGAACAATGCCTTGCGTGTTGTCCTGTGGACTCTTACCAAGAAACCTTGGCTGTTGAATGTCCATAGGTCATTCTTGTTGCGAAGGACTTCCATGCCTGTTGGAGTCAGTGTGACCGGTGCTATTCTTGCTGTTGTTCCTTCTGCTGTCTGGTTGACTTCAAGCCTCAAGTTGGCTGGAAGTGTGATCAGCACAACTGGCAAGAAGTATAGGCCTTCTCGTTGTTTGAGTGCTGAGTTGAATCCCTTGGTGTGTGTGATTGTTGGTGTTTCGTTAAGTTGTGTGTTGAACCCTTGTTCTGCCAGTCTTGTTACTGACATGATGGGTTGCGTCACATCACACACATAGAAGGGAACAACTATTGTTTGCTTGTTGGTGTTGTGCATGTACACCCATTTGTAGCCATGCACTGGGATATCCTCATCTGTTGCTGTCCTCAACCTAGGTCCTTGCCCTTGTTGTAGTGGATACAGTGGTGTGTCTGGTGCAAACCATGTTGGACAAACGTGTGTTGCTGCTCCACTGTCGATCATAACGTCCACCTCGTTGTCTCCTCTCTGCTGCTGCACTGCTTGAGCTGTGGTGGTTGCTTCATTGTGGGCACTTGCTGCCTGATGGCCCAGTGCTCCTACAAGTTGTATTGTTGGTGTCTGCGTGTTGGTTTGTGGCGCTGGCAAAGCTAGTTGTTGTTGTTGTACTGGCTGGATGTTGTAGTTGCCTGACTGGTCGTTGCTGTACCAGTAGTTGTCGTACCCACTGTTTGGGTCATACCATTGGGATGTTCCATCCTGGTTCTGTTCCTGTGGTGTCTCTGCAATGTTGTACACCGCTGTTCGGCAATCCTTTGCCAAGTGGCCTTGTTGACCACATCTGTAGCATATTGCTGTTGGATTCTTTCCTTTTCCTTTGTTGTGAGCTCCTTTCGACTTTCCTTTGTTTCCTTTCTCTACTCCTTTTGGCTGATACCATTGCTGTTGTTTTCCTTTGCCCTTTCCTTTGTTGTAACTGCCGTAGCCTCCGTAGCCTTTTCCTTGGTGGTATCCTTTTCCTTTGTGACCTCCTTTGTTGAATCCTTTTCCTTTGCTCTTTCCTTTTCCTTTTCCTTTGCCTTTATATGTTGCTCCAATATCCATTGGAGCTGGGCCTCCTCCTAAGTTGCTGCTGACTGCTGAAGACGACTGTTCTTGAAGTCTTGAGAACGCAGTTGTGGTTCTGTAGTACTCCATGATTGTTGTCCTCACTTCAGCATATGTTGGTGTTGCGCTGGCATTGAGGTGTAAGTGTTGTTGGAGTGGTCCTGTTGTCTCATTCATGAGAACTGCTATCTTCACTTGGTCTGGTAGTTGTGCATTGTTGTCACGCTCGTAACGTGCAAGCTCAAATTCCCATGTTGAGAAGGACTCCTCAAAGTTGTTGATGTCGAAAGTTGGCTTGAGTAGTTTTGTGAGGTAGCCTATGCTTCTTGTTCCAACAGGTATTGCAAACCTGTTGCACAGTTGCCTGTAGACCTCTAGGCCCATTGCGTCTTGGTATTGTCTGCAAACTGTTGCTGCTGAACCGCTGGTGATGTTGATAAGGATGTATTTGAGGTTGTTGCAAAGTTGTGTCCATTTCTCTCCTTGCTCTATTGTTGAGGCTGCACCGAGCAGCTCTGCATCTGTGAGCACTGTTGTTGCTCTTTCTGCTCTTGAAAGCAGTTGTGGAAAGATGTTGTCCTGTAGGCCCATGTATGCTGAGAATTTGTACTTCCATTCCTCGAATGTTGCGTAGTTTCCATCGTATGTTGGAGGTTTCAACTTCAGCCTGTGTGTTGATCCTAGGGCTTCTGCTTGTGTTTCTCCTGCTGTTGGCGATCCTATCTCATGTGCCGTCGCCATCCTTGTTGTTGAGGGTCCCCCACACTGTATAGTTGGGATCAAGCCCTCTTCCTGCGCACCTTGTTGTTGAGTTTGTTTCTTTACCTTGTCGTTGCAGTGGTGGTGTTGGGCTGCTACCCTTTGTTGCTCCAGCTGTTGTTGAGAGTCCCCCAGTGTTCTGGGATCAAGCCCTCTGCCTGTTGGAGCTCACCTGGATGCTTCCAGGATCACTGCTCCGCTACCATGAAAAGATTCAGGCAGCTCTGTTGTATCAATGTTGCAGCTGATGCTGTGCGCGCTCACTCTTTTGTACTGTTGGCAAACAGTCTCAGGATAGCTTCAGGCTCAAGGCCTGTTGATCCATAATGTTGACAGTGACATCCAGCAGCTGTTGAACTGTACACGAATTGTGTGTTGGACAATGTTGTTACTTAACAGATACGACCAACATCAACCAACAATGAAAAAGATAGTATACAGGGATCTTCAGATAATTTCAGATATTACATCTGGATGCACATAGTCATGCACACAGAGGGCTGTTTCCAGCCTTCACCACCTTCATCAGAATCTCTGCCGCGCCAAAAATCATGGCGCCGCCTCTTTTTTCGGATGGATCCCTTGATCAATGCCTGGATCACCGCTAAAGGAACCGCTTCGCAGGACCACAAAAATGGCACAAGATGGCACAAGGCCACTTGAGCCGAGAGCACAGGGCCACATGGAGATCCGGATCTCGGGAAGACTTCAATACATGGGTCCAGATGGTCCAGGGCTGAAAGATGCCCAGAAAATCCAGCATAATTAGGACTTTGACTCCCTTAAAGTGAGGGGCTTACAAATAGCATCCGCTTGGAAGAACTTGGACATGAGAGCACTGTGGACTGTGGACATGTTGTCAATTCCACTGGGCTACCCCTGAACATTGAACACTAAACTTGTGCACTCGTACCTGGCCTCCTCGCCCATGCGTTCCACACGAACGATGCTGGCCACTTTGCCCAGGACAGTGAGAAGTCCCGACTCTCCCAGCGACCTTGGCATCCGCACCAATGGCAGTGGGTCTGGGGTGACCCACAAGATTTGTCGATTTTGGATGTTTTTGGATGTTTGATAGGATGCTTTAGGATGTGTTAGAATGTGTTAGTCTTAAACTTAAATCATTCATATTGGCGAGGTGATACTTTTGACCCAATCTGAGTCAAACTTGTGAATTTTCAAGGAGCAAAAAAAATTGCCATTCTTGATCTTGCAGATTTTGCTCATGGAGGTCACAGCATCAGTGATATCAGTGCCAGACATCCCAGCGATCTTAGCCCCCAGGCTTTCCGCTGAGCAGACTGCCGCTGATCTGGATGTTGGCCAGAAAGAGTTTGGTTCCAGAAGACACCAACGGCCTGGATCCCTGCAGCAAAAAAATGGCAGCAAATGCACTGACCAAACTTACCGGCTGATGGACTCATATGGCCCAAATCCCCTGTCAGGTCAGCACAAAAAACTGTCAACCACTGATGAACCTCCCAGTCAATTGCACACCTTGGGGGACAGCGTTGGCGTCGGTGTCTCTGAAGCTTCTATGTATAGAAGTGTCCTGGGCTGTGGCTGTGGCTGGCCTTTGGCTGCGAACTTGACGTCAACCTGGAACCATTCTCTAAACCTGGTATTTGACCTACCTTCGGACCTCGCCGTCCGCTTCAGGGTCAGCTGATTATTGGTTGAACTGAGGTGATCAGCAAAGTCTGACTACCAACTGAGTCAGCAGGATGTTGGCGACTCGACCCGTTGTGTATCCCGCAGCTAAGAAGTACAACATGTACAACCCACCACGAAAAAACAATCAGTCACTATCCTGCATGTCCAACTTTATGTGCCTCTCAACTTCTTAGACTTGCTGACTCCTGGTCTTTATAGCCATAAATTTGTATCTCAAGTCATAGAGTCATAAATCATTCTTGTAGATGTGGGTACTCTCAAGTAGCAATACCATTCGACAAGCTTCGGAACTGCAATCGCAAGGTAAAGCACTGTCGCCTTGCGATGCAGGCTCGAGCTTAGCTGCAGTGTCTCCGTCCCGAAATATTTGAATATGAACATGATATTACAATATATAATTAATATATTACATAATGATACATTAATTATTGAATTAGTGTCGATGTATTCCATCTGCAAACTTCGAGAATTGCAGTAAGTGAGTCCTCAGCAGTTGGGATTAGTTTTCAGCAGTCCTATTAAAAGATCTAAACAGCATAGTCTGTCATCCTGCCCAGACTGAATGGGAAAGCCAATCTGAGGGTCAAAGCCGAGAGACCATGCCACATGTGATAGCCAGCGGTGAAATTTCAAAGTTGCCAAAGGGCTCGAGGCCTGCCGCGAACATGTCGATGGTGCCAGGGCACCATAAACATGTTGAGATTTCATGAGATTTCCTTGAAATCTTGGACCCGAAGGAGCTGCAACAAATTTGATACGGTAATGCAGTAGTAATGCACAAATCCAACACAAAGCAATCATAGAGCCATACCTTGCAGGATGACGATCTTGTCATTTCATGTCCTTTCCCTAAATCTGAAGCTTCCATAAGCTTCCGATATCTTCCGACATGTGCTGCGCTCTAGAGGACTCTACATCTGCATCAGTTCAGAGGGGTCACCGTTGGATCTTTCCAAACTGACATGTTGGCGGGAAAGGGTGACATATTTTGGTCCAAATTTCTGTGGTATTTCCAGCTGGTTTACCCAGGTCGGAGCTGCACAGTCCAACTGCCTCTTTCCATTAGAAGACTCTGAGCCACCAGATTGGAAGAAGTCGAAAAAATGGCAAAGGCACCAATGACGAGCCTTGGCTAGCAAAAGAGCACAGCTGATACATCTAGCAAAACATGGTCACTCACGTTTTAAGTGGACACCCTTAGCTGAGGTATTGGTGGGTTCTGCTTTGAAGTGTCTTAAATCAAATAATATCGGGGATCCTCCCAACATCATGGGCTCACTGGTGTTCAATGTTCGAATCATCGAAGTGGGCTTCCGGCGACCTCGGGGCTACCTCTCTTTTTCTGCCACCAGGGTACATGATGTAAGACATTGGCATCAGAAACAGTCGCGGTGGCATATTTATCTCCTGACATTCGCGCATGGAATGGCACGGCTCAGAATGGTGGACAACAAAATGGGTGTGTCTGAAAATAGTGTACCCCTAAACCCAATGGTTTTGCTGATCATTATCCCTATTAAATGGCTATTTGTTTGGGAATATACCGGTTGAGCTCTTATTATTGGTGCCGCGCCCCAGCCCTCGAAGAAATGGAAGTTTTCTGCAGCCTGGAATTCTGGTGAAATTCTTACTTTCAAGGCCAGGCCACTTTGCACCACTTCTCGATAACAGGAATCATTACCTGCAAGCACTGCTCACTCAATCTGCGAGTAAAGTCTGAAAGGCACCAAAAAAGTCGCAGTTTACCTCAGGATCCATCTTGTATAATGTGCTATCCATGTTTATATAGACTGGTCGGTATGTGTAGTCCACTTTTTTGCCACTCATTTAGTCATTTCCACTGCACTGTTCCGTGTAGACAGTCTGGCCTGCTCATCCAAAAAAAAATTGCTGGATCTCAATTGGCAGGAATGCTACGTGATACACATGCAATCATGATTAATCATGTATTTGGATCAGCAGTACCTAACCTATATTAACCTATAGACAAGTCTCAATGTAACAACACCTGAGAAGGGGTGGAACGAAAGCCAGCGCTTGCTTTTTGACTCGCGCGGGGGCGCGTGAAACTCCACCTCATCCATATGGCATGGCTCAAACGTGAAGCGCCACAACATCAACAATTGCTATCGGGCCATAATTTTCCAATCATTAAATGGACCTTTTTAGGGTAAACTCCACGATTTTGTAACTTCTATATCCAAATATGTTTCCTACAATGTACTGCGGCATTGTGAAAAGTTCTATCTCAAGTTCCTTAAATCCGCCTTTGGTTGCTCATTTATCTTAAAACAGCGCAAGTTTGCTCCCACCTATTTTTTTGTGTGAACAGTGGTCATGTGACCTCTCAAAGTCTAAATTGTTTTCTCCCCAGAATCGTGGTCCATGCTTCTCCGCGAAGTTCCGCAACATTTTGGCCGTACGGTGAGAAATCAAAACATAGCTCTACTCGCAAAATGGGCAGTGCAAACCCAAGACAATATTGTAACATACGTAAGAAAGGGTATAAGAACGAATGAAAATCGAGGAAAACAATGCAAAACCCACGGGAAATATAGAACAGTGGCGAACATGCAGTCCAAATCAAAAGTATATATATTTAGGCCATTTACAGACCTGGGTACCCCCCCCCACCCCCCAAGGGTCTGGAAAATAGGGATTTTACAGGAAATGTCGCGGAATAGCATCATCCCTGACATCGATAGAGATAATTGTTTGGCATCCCGGAAAATCTTCTCAGCTATCACACTCGCCAAACATCCCTTTTAAAAGGCACACATACTATCACGGACGTACAGATGTATATCATTCCCGTCATTGCCATTAGAAGATTCAAATTCTTTCTCGATGTTTTAGTACAAGATTCACTTTTAGTTCCGTTTCAGCCTTCTCAGTACGGCCTCTTACAATGATATTACAGCATTTGTCTCCTAACCTAGGTGGCTCCTGGGCGCAATCTTCATTCCAATGCTTTGTGACAATAACCAGAGGCCTGGAGCCTATGCATCACTTGACAGTCGACTCAGTTCTAAACTGGAAAGACTATTCCTTCCGTTTACCACTCGATCGTTTTTGTAGTTCTTATCACAAAACTACCAGAATCAGGGAGGCACCAAAAAACGTCAAACAGTTTTAAGCATTATAAATACTCTAATCTGCAGATTGTATTTATTTTTCTTACTCTGTGAACGAAATCACACTTTTCTAACTTCACACAGATTACCATGAAACCAATTTTCCCATGCAACTCTTAAAATCTTACAACTCATACATCTTTTTTCCTATACCATCCGCATCTTGCTCCAAGGTTTCATGGCAATGTCTTGTACGCGAGTCAGCCACTATTTCCTATCACCAAACTACATTGCTCATCATCTAACATTATCTACAGAAACCAAATCGGATTTCCTGCTCAACGTTTCCGCTCGTTAACATTGTCTTGGTTTTCACTATATTTTTGAAGCATTTTTAGTTATAACATGTTCCTAGGTTTTCACTGTATTTTTCTAACATGCTACATGCCTCCTAGCATGTTCACGCGTGTCCTCCATGTTGTACTGTTTTCTACATCGTTTCCTCTAGTTGTTACAAGCATTTCCTAGCTTGTACACCGCTTTCCTAATATTGTCACAACTTTTCTTCCAGTTTCCACTGCTTTTTCTACCGTTTCCTGTGGTTACTTTCTTCTCTTTTGTAGATTTTCACTGTGTTTTGTCCAGCTTTTTTTATTACATGCTTCCTACCATTTTCACCGCTTTCCTCTATGGTTTTTTGTACCATTTCCTCTCGTTTCCTGCATTTCATGCATTTTCAATATATTTTTCCAAGAGTTTTACCCGTCTCCTTCAGTTTCCGATCGTTTTTGCACCATTTCCTCTGGTTGTTATCGCATTTTCCTGCACTTTCACTGTATTTTCCCAGCATGTTTACTGCATCGTCATAGTTTGTTCCTAGCAGTCGCTCCGGTTTCCTCCATGTTCCAACAGATTTTAAACCCTTTATTCTGGTTGTTATCACATTTTCCTGCCAGGTTGTTATCACATTTTCCTTCACTGTATCTTTCCAGCATTTTCCAGTGGATTTTGCACGATTTCCTCTGATTGTTATCATGTTTTCCTGCAGTTTCTATATCATCTATATCCTCTTCGTGGGTTTTCAGTCTATTCATGCATTTTAATCTATTTTTCCAAGATTTTTACCCGTCTCCTTTTTGCACCATTTCCTCTGGTTTGCTGCATTTTCAATGTATTTTTCCAAGAGTTTTACCCGTCCCCTTCATTTTCCGATCGGTTGTTATCGCATTTTCCTGCACTTTCACTGTCTTTTTCCAGCATGCTTACTGCATCGTCATGGTTTGCGCCTAGCATTCGCTCCGGTTTCCTCCATGTTCCAAGGGATTTTCCATGGTTTGTTCCTAGCATTCGCTCCGTTTTCGTTCGTTTTCCAGGGGATTTTGTACGATTTCCTCTGATCGTTATCATGTTTTCCTGCAGTTTCATTGTATTTTCCAATACATCCTCATGGCCTCTCCGGCCACCAAAAAGGCGGACCTAGGGGGAATCGATACCCCACCGTCAGCAAATTACCTAGTGATACATAATCCAGCAAAATGCTCAACACAGGGGCACGGCGAGATTTCGTTCCCTTTCGGCAACCACCCCCCACACCCTCTATTCTCACTTCGTTCGCAAACAGCAACTAGCCAGCTAGCTGGCTTTCGTAATTTTTTAAAGCATTTTTAGTTATAACATTTTCCTAGGTTTTCACTGTATTTTTCTAACATGTTACATGCCTCCTAGCATGTTCACGCGTGTCCTCCATGTTGTACTGTTTTCTACATCGTTTCCTCTAGTTGTTACAAGCATTTCCTAGCTTGTACACCGTTTTCCTAATATTGTCACAACTTTTCTTCCAGTTTCCACTGTTTTTTCTACCGTTTCCTGTGGTTACTTTCTTCTCTTTTGTAGGTTTTCACTGTGTTTTGTCCAGCTTTTTTTATTACATGCTTCCTACCATTTTCACCGCTTTCCTCTATGGTTTTTTGTACCATTTCCTCTCGTTTCCTGTATTTCATGCATTTTCAATATATTTTTCCAAGAGTTTTACCCGTCTCCTTCAGTTTCCGATCGTTTTTGCATCATTTCCTCTGGTTGTTTTCGCATTTTCCTGCATTTTCACTGTATTTTTCCAGCATGTTTACTGCATCGTCGTTTGTTCCTAGCAGTCGCTCCGGTTTCCTCCATGTTCCAACAGATTTTGCACCCTTTATTCTGGTTGTTATCACATTTTCCTGCCAGGTTGTTATCACATTTTCCTTCACTGTATCTTTCCAGCATTTTCCAGTGGATTTTGCACGATTTCCTCTGATTGTTATCATGTTTTCCTGCAGTTTCTATATCCTCTTCGTGGGTGTTCAATCTATTCATGCAATTTTAATCTATTTTTCCAAGATTTTTACCCGTCTCCTTTTTGCACCATTTCCTCTGGTTTGCTGCATTTTCAATGTATTTTTCCAAGAGTTTTACCCATCTCCTTCATTTTCCGCTCGTTTTTGCACCATTTCCTCTCGTTGTTATCGCATTTTCCTGCACTTTCACTGTCTTTTTCCAACATGTTTACTGCATCGTCATAGTTTGTTCCTAGCAGTCACTCCGGTTTCCTCCATGCTCCAACAGATTTTGCATGGTTTGTTTCTAGCATTTTCCTCTGATCGTTATCATGCTTTCCTCAAGTTTCATTGTATTTTCCAATACATCCTCTTCGTGGGGTTTGAATATGTTTTATCCATTTGATCTATCAGTTCTTTCACACCTTGGAAAGACGTCCCACCAATCAAACGGAGGTACAGTCATCCGATCTGCTGCTCTCCAACACATCTCTTACTTTCATTCGGTACCATGATCACTCCCCCTCTAGCTTTTAACGTTCTCCACTTGCACTCGTCGCAATACATTTTCCTAGCGTTCTCAACACTTCTGCCACTACTTTCGAAACCCGGGGGGGGGAAGCAGGTCTGTAAATTGCTATATTTTTGTCCACCAATTTCCAACACTTTTCCTCTTTTTTAACGTCGTTTTCGCAGAAAATCCTGCGCGCCACTGGTCTTTCCATCGTTTCCGCTCGTTAACATTGTCTTGGTTTTCACTATATTTTTTAAAGCATTTTTAGATGTAACATTTTCCTTGGTTTTCACTGTATTTTTCTAACATGTTACATGCCTCCTAGCATGTTCACGCGTGTCCTCCATGTTGTACTGTTTTCTACATCGTTTCCTCTAGTTGTTACAAGCATTTCCTAGCTTGTACACCGTTTTCCTAATATTGTCACAACTTTTCTTCCAGTTTCCACTGTTTTTTCTACCGTTTCCTGTGGTTACTTTCTTCTCTTTTGTAGGTTTTCACTGTGTTTTGTCCAGCTTTTTTTATTACATGCTTCCTACCATTTTCACCGCTTTCCTCTATGGTTTTTTGTACCATTTCCTCTCGTTTCCTGCATTTCATGCATTTTCAATATATTTTTCCAAGAGTTTTACCCGTCTCCTTCAGTTTCCAATCGTTTTTGCACCATTTCCTCTGGTTGTTATCGCATTTTCCTGCACTTTCACTGTATTTTTCCAGCATGTTTACTGCATCGTCATGGTTTGCGCCTAGCATTCGCTCCGGTTTCCTCCATTTTCCAAGGGATTTTCCATGGTTTGTTCCTCGCATTCGCTCCGTTTTCGTCCGTTTTCCAGGGGATTTTGTACGATTTCCTCTGATCGTTATCATGTTCTCCTGCAGTTTCATTGTATTTTCCAATACATCCTCATGGTCTTTCCGGCCACCAAAAAGGCGGACCTAGGGGGAATCGATACCCCACCGTCAGCAAATTGCCTAGTGGTACTTAATCCAGCAAAATGCTCCGTTTTCTGGCGCTCAACACAGGGTCACGGCGAGATTTCGTTCCCTTTCGGCAACCACCCCCCCCCACACCCCCTATTCTCACTTCGTTCGCAAACAGCAACTAGCCAGCTAGCTGGCTTTCGTAATATAACAACAACATCAATGGAATATGGCCACATTTGACCCTGGGTGATTCGGGGATGGAGAAGTCGCAGGCTGGTCACTCCCATGACGCAGGTATTGGAGATGGAAGCAGCCAGAGGCATCGCAGGGAGACTCAGCCGCAGGATGGCGGCAAAGTAGGTCTTCGGATGGCCCAAGACACCTTGACTTAGTGACTCAGTGAGTTGGCATAGTGAAGGAAGTTGCTTGAGTTACATGCTCCATATCAAATTTGATGTTGCTATATTTGATGTTTGATGATGTTTGTACATGTTTATTGATAATCATGTTTATATCATTTGATACAGTCTGATACCAATTGGCTGACGTTCGAATTCTCCCTACATCTGTAAGAACCCATCCCTAAGCGGCCAGTCATTCCCCAGATTATGCTTCTATCTTCACCTAAAAATCCAACAGCAAGAACAAAAAGGTTAGTCTCAGCACTAAGGACACCGTTTCATCCCCGCCATTTGCTTCGTTGAATCTCTTCTAACATCAACTGTCCAAAATTGTCCAAATCCACCCACAACAAAATGACGATGACAAGGCCACCGGTTCCACCCAGTGACGCATGAAAATGAAATCGATGACACCGGTGTGATGAACCCCTGCTGAGACGATGCCAAGCACCGCCACGGAAAGCACCACAGAGTTGCCTGGGAGATCAGGGCCAGGCGAGACAATAGATGATAGTACTATAATGTACATATAATGTACTATACAGATGTTTATACAGTACTATCAAGTACTATCAAGTACTATCAAGTACTATCAAGTACTATCAAGTACTATCAAGTACTATCATATATATATGTGGAGGGGACCTTTATGTATAGAATGACGGGGTTCTGGATCTCGCTTCTGAGGACCTCAATTACAATTCCATAAGAAAGGCTAGTCTAAAATCCGATCTCCATATTCATCTCCTTTTCAATGTTTCTATAAATTCATGGCTGCATTTCCTTTGGCTTTCCTTCAAGTTTGCTGTCTTATTTATCCTGGCCTTTGTAGATTTCCTTTCCGAAATCTAAATTCCTAATGAAATTGTCTTTTTCCGGTTCCTTCTGAAAGTTGCTTGCAAATATCAATTTCCTTTTAATTTCCTTTTAAAGCTATTTCAAATGTTCGTTGGAATAATTCTATTTGGACACGGTTCAAAAACGAAAGCGGAATTATAAAGCATAGGGCGGGCCAAGGCATTTTGTCTCGCATGCAATGTAAAGTGTATGCTTTTCATTGCTTTTCTGCATGTGCCAATGTCTTCCCACCTCTTGGGATTCTCTACGCCTTTCCTCGCCGCTTCTCCACAGCTTCTTGCCCTCCCCCTCTCCACCTACAAAGGAGAAAGACGAAGAAAGGGGGTGAAGCAGGTGGAAAGTTGTGGGTGGAAGGGTAGGTGGAAGGGGTGGATATGGTTGGAGAGGTTGGGTGAAGATGATGCTAGGGTGATGCGAGGGTGGAGCGAGGTTGGAGCGATGGTGGAATGAAGGGTGAGGTGTGGAGAAGGTGATCAAAAATTGATACCAAGTACAAGGATACATCTACTGTATTTATTCACATCCTTTGCGCGATCCACTCCTTGGGATTCTCTCCTTCCCTTTTCACTTTCCCGCGGCTTTTTCTCTTCTCTCCCCCTCTCCACCCTTCTACATGTCCATCTCCGCTCAATACCCTCATTCCTCTTTCCGAAAAGAATCTTCGGGGCAGAAAGTGTGGAGAGGAGTGAGCAGGGATGGAAAGCGGAGAGAATTAAATGAAGTTGGGGTGATGGGCGGGGTCACGATGAAGAGTTGGGCGGTGGGCGTAGCGAAAGGCAGATGGATGGAGAAAAAGAACATGTACATTAGATAGACGCAAGTAATTCATCCTGACTGCTTTCTTATCTAGCCGTTTCTTTTTTCAAAACTACTTTAAAGTTCAATTGTGATTGCCTTTTCCAGCTCCATCTTATATTGGCTTGCATAGATGAAAAAAATGTATGTCTACTTTCTTTTTTGGACATACTTTTCAATGTGCCTTGGAACAAATCTCTTAAGACATGATTCAAAAGCAGCAGTGCAAATACAAAGCATAGGGTGGACTAAGGCATTTTGCCTCTCAGGCAATGTAAAAGTGCATGCTTTTCATTGCTTTTTCTGTGGGGGGAGCGAGGGCGGAGCGGGGGTGGAGTGAAGGGTGGAGTGAAGGGTGGAGTGAAGGGTGGAGAAGGTCGCCAAAAATTGATACAAACGATGCATATTTATTTCGTTTTTTGCTTGATCCACTGCTTGTGCTTTTTCCCTTGCCTTTTCACTTCTCCGCAAACTTTTTCTCTTCCATCCCCCTCTCCACCCTTCTACATGTCCATCTCTGCCTCCACTCAACACCTTCATTCCTGTTCTGAAGATAAGGTGCTAGGGGACAAAGGGGTGAAGAGGAGTGAGCATGCATGGAAAGCGGAGAGGGTTAAATGAAATTGAGGTGATGGGCAGGGTCGCGATGAAGGGTTGGGCGGTGGGGTGTGGTGAAAGGCAAATGGGTGGAGAGAAACAAAATACAACACATACATGAACAATTCATCCGGACTGCTCTTTTATCTATTTAGCAATTTCTTTCAAAACCTATTTGAATTTCAGTTGAAATTGTCTTGTCCAGCTCCATGTTCAATTTGCTGTCAAAGAACAGAACAAAATTGTCTTCTAGTTTCTCTTTAAATTTTCAATTTTCGTTGGAATAATTCTCTTTAGACATGATCCAAAATTGGCGGCCACATTTTGAAAGGCAGAGGGTGGGGCCATGGTTTTTGCGCAGGTAATGTAATGTGGCAAAGAACTGCGCAGGCGATGTTACATGGCAAAGAACCTCATTTGGGTTTTTTCTATACAATCCAATTATAATGATTTTGGTGCTGGTTTCTTGTTGGGCTTACCACATTAAAGTGTGTGCTTTTCATTGCTTTTCTTTATGTGCCAATGCTTGTCTCATTGATACCTGTCCACTTGTGCTTTTCCTCTCTTTATCTGCGCTTTGCCTCGCCGCTTTTCCACAGCTTCTTGCCTTCCCCCCTCTCCACCTACAAAGAAGAAAGAAGCTGAAAATGAGGTGAAAAGGCCTAAACATGGGTAGGTGGTAAAGTGTGAATGGAAAGGGGGCGGATTGCGAGTGCAGGGGTTAGGAGATTGGTAGGAAGCGTGATGCCATGGTCCGGCCAGGATGGAGTGAGGGTGGAGCGAGGGTGAAGCAAAGATCGAGCAAGGGCAGCAAGGGCTCAATGAAGGGTGGAGAAGGTTGCACAAACTTGAAAACGATGCATATTTATTTACATTGCTTGCGTTCTTCACCGTTTTTTTGAATTCGCTACTCCTTGCCTTTTTCACTTCTCCACGGCTGCTTCTCTTCTCTCCTTCCGTTCCTGTTCAAGGAGAATGTTAGGGGCTGAAAGGATGGAGGAGTGAAAAGAGATGTAAAAACGGCGAGGGTTAAGTGAAGTTGGGGTGATGGACAGGGTTATAATGAAGGGTCGAGCAGAGAGATGAGGCGAAAGGAGAGGAAAATCTTCTTGCAAGTGCCAGTCAAACTTTTATCATTGTTCTGAGTTTCTATTTACCTTTGGAATATCTAGCCTAAAGATCCGATATCCTCATTCATAGCTTTCCTTCAAGTGTACTGTCATATCTTCATTCTGGCTGTGCCCTTATCTAGCCTTTGTACATGTCCTTTTCAAAAGTAGCTTAAATTTCAATTGAAATGATCTTTTCCGGTTCCTTCTGAAATTTGCTTGCACAGATCAATTTCCCTTTAAATTTCTCTTTGAAGCTATTTCCAACTTTCGTTGGAATATTTCTCTTTGGACACGATCCAAAAACAGCGGCGCCATTACAAAGCACAGGGCGGGCTAAGGCATGTTTGTCTCGCATGCAATGTAAAGTGTATGCCTGCTTTTCATTGCTTTCTGCATGTGCCAATGTTTTCCCACCTGTTGGGATTCTCTACGCCTTGCCTCGCCGCTTCTCCACAGCTTCTTGCCCTCCCCGAAAGACACAGAAAGGGGGTGAAGTAGGTGGAAAGTTGTGGGTGGAAGGGTAGGTGGAAGGGGTGGATATGGTTGGGAAGGTTGGGTGAAGGTGATGCTAGGGTGATGCGAGGGTGGAGCGAGGCTGGAGCGAGGGTGGAGCGATGGTGGAATGAAGGGTGGGGTGTGGAGAAGGTGATCAAAAATTGCTACCAAATATAAGGATACACCTACAGTACTGTATTTATTCACATCCTTCGCGTTATGTACTGCTTGGGATTCTCTCCTTCCCTTTTCACTTTGCCGCAATTTTTTCTCTTCTCTCCCCCTCTCCACCCTTCTACATGTCCATCTCCGCTCAATACCTTCATTCCTCTGTCCGAAAAGAATTTTAGGGGCAGAAAGTGTGGAGAGGAGTGAGCAGGGATGGAGGGGAGAGAGTTAAATGAAGTTGGGGTGATGGACGGGGTCACGATGAAGAGTTGGGCGGTCGGGCGTAACGAAAGGCAGATGGATGGAGAAAAAGAACATGTACATTAAATAGATGCAAGTAATTCATCCTGAATGCTTTCTTATCTATCCGTTTCTTTTTCAAAACTACTTTAAAGTTCAGTTGTGATTGCCTTTTCCAGCTCCATCTTATCAGATTGAACGCGCAATGGCGGAAATTTTCACCCCAGCCACTCAGCCACTCTGAGTGGCTGAGTGGCTGCTCCAGCCACTCTGGCAGAGTGGCTGAGTGGCTGCTCCAGCCACTCTGGCTGAGTGGCTGAGTGGCTGCTCCAGCCACTGCGTGGCTGATGGGCTGAGTGGCTGGGGGCTGGCTGCTCCAGCCACTCTGGCAGAGTGGCTGCTCCAGCTACTCTGGCAGAGTGGCTGAGTGGCTGAGTGGCTGCTCCAGCCACTCTGGCAGAGCGGCTGAGTGGCTGAGTGGCTGCGGCAGAGTCATCAGCCAATGAATTTGATAAAGTTTTTAAACATTTCAATGTCCAAGCAAGGTTATATGATAGTGACAGCAACTTGATTTACAAACATAACCCTGTAAACTTTAACTGCCATAGCTACATAACTTTCAACGTATTGATTAAGAACAGCCACATATACACTTTGAACTATAACCTGAAATTACTTAAAAGGAAAGATCGTGTTGATGAACTCTACAAGTTCAGGATTGGAAACAACTATTACATCAACCACAGAGAAGAACCTCTTAAATACAAAATGATTGATGGTATCGATGGTGTGATGAGTTTAAAGGATGAAGAGGAATACAAATTAGTTTTAAAAAGGCAATGATTTGAACAAAGCAATGTATGACATGAAAAGAGCAGGATATGAACCACAGGTTAGGCACACAGCAGGTAGGGCAGTAGAAATCAAGTCTGATTTAACACACAAGATAGGCAAGAAACAGAAAACGGTAACCTACAGCATTGTAACACAGCACCGTGACCATGATAGAATCAATGATGATATCTTGGTGGAAACAGAGGAATAATACAACAAAGTCAGCGCGACAATGTTCAAGTTTCATGAGTCAATTTTCAGTGAAAATCATAAGTCATACTATAACGAAACTGACCTTAAAGCATTGGATGAATGCAGAACCATTGTTCCTAATGGAAGGTTGTTAAAGGCAAAAGACTATGATAGCAAGGGCTATGA